GTTTAAGTGAGACATTAACATCGTTGGATGCGGGCCAGTTCAGTGGTCTAGTGGTTAAGCGCTCGCGTGCGAGACGAACAGGTCCTGTGTTCGAATCTCTCAGGGGGGAGATCATGGGTGCGCACTGCTGGGGGTCCCACAGCAGGACTAAACGGCCGTTCAGTGCTTCCAGGTTTTCCATGGTGATCTAGCTTCAACTGACTCATGATCTTAACCATTGAAATTAAGTGATATATTTTATCAATGACTTCACATTTTTTTAGAAAATATGTCTTAGTATTTTAAGTAGTAGGTTTTAAAGCAATATATTTCAACCCAGTTTTTATCTATCACAGTTTGTCTAGCTAAATATTATCATTAATCATAACAGAGTAAATCTGACTGAAAATTAAGTGTACGAAGGTATATTTAGTTATTAAGCTACAATAAACATTACTTCATAATGATTCTAAAACAATCATTATTATCTTTTTTATGAAATCATGAACTGATATAAGTCAGATAATGATTGAACACCTGAAAACACTGGAAGGCCGTTTCATCCTTAGCATTATGCGACTGAAGATCTTGAGTTTGATTCTCGCTTGCGAGATCGTGGATGGATATTGCTGAGGAGTCTGACACTAGAAAGAAACGCACGTCTAGTATTTATAGTTTTTTAGTTGTTGGTAAACTTTAATTAGTTCATGAATTCAACAATTTTTGCACCCTCATACTGTGAACTACTATTTTTTGTTAATGAATGAAACTCCATAATTTCAAAACATATTATTGAATGTAAAATAGCATTAATTATGTGCATAAGTGTTAATGTCGACGAATCTTAATCATAATTGAGCTCATTGCCCACAAAACTTCACCGAAAGGTATAAAAAACTGTCATCATATAACACAAAATAAATCGTCTTCACTAATATTCAGTTGAACATTAAATACATGTTTTGTACATTTAGTTGATTGCTTTTTCATAGTGTATGATTATGTTCTGAAGTCTCGATCAATAATTTACTTTTGAAGACGCTTTATCACCCTGATGTCCTAAAAGAGAGGGCTGAGCCTGTGTAGAAGCTTTATTAGTAGAGCTGAATTGTAATATGCACAGCTAATGCCTAAATATTTGCTACCATGTTGTTCGAAATAAAAACATTAGTGACAATCTCAAAAAACGTGAATAATTCGTTTACTCGCAACATCCCACCCACGCTTTTATTTCTCACTTACTACGAGGCTTTGAAACAACATATCATTCTTTTTAGCCTACATAGCAACTTACCTTCCTCACCTGGAAAATTTTCCTTTTTTGCACCCACTTATTTTGCTTGATATGGAGGTACATCAACATCTTTAGTTAACTTTGTTATTCAGTATTCTGTTCAGTGTTTTATTTGAATTTGATTTGTAAATTTCGAATTAGTGTGAATTGTAGAATAAAGTTAGACGTTAACACCGATAATCAGACATATAGTGATTGAGACGGGTAGACTTTCATGAATTCTTAATACGACCAGGTAAAATTTTTAAAAAATGACTTTTCTCTAAATGAAGTTGTCTGACTTTTGATTTCAATTATCAATAAAGAAACAAGTTGTTCAACGTGACAAACTATCGACTGAAATCTTGTAATTTTGCTTTCATTTATAGTAAGCAATTCGTAAAAAGAGAAGTTACATTCAAAACATTACAATATCTAAAACATTTCAACATCAATTAATTGTAGTCGCCATACAGAAAAAATATGTGATAGATTTCATGAAACACTTCAGATTTCATGTATGACGTTGATAGTGGCTGTTCAACCAACTAGCTACCCAGCCTCAAGTTTTATTCATTCACTCTCTCTCGATATATATAGATATAGTTAATGCAAGTCAAAAATAAGACAGTAACTCAAAAATGACACTGAATGAGGATTTACATTTCTAACAAACTGATAGAGCTTTGAACATATGATCGAGTCTTTGGCTAAGTGCTAAATTATTCGTCACAAGATCTGACTAGAGTAGTCGTAATTTTGTGGAATGTGTGGAGTGGAGTGTGGAGTGTGAATTCCAGAAGACTTTCAAACTAAGATAAAATAGCTTTTCCTTTCTTACTAGTTGTTAGTGATTTTCCACCTCAAGTCTGTTTATGATGAAAAATACTTCCAAGCTTAAAATAGATATATGACTAGAAACGTTTTCAAAATATTTTTTTATTTAAAGTCAACCAAAAATATTTCGACAAGCATAGTGTGATTCTGATATGTAGATCCCCATTTATAACATCACATGTTCGAATAGAAGAATTTAGAAAAAGCCAAATGTCAAGTGATTTAACTGATCAGTGTTTGCTTATAACTATTTTATTTGTTAAATCATTCGGTTTATTCTTTATACCTCATGAATGAATACAGCTGAGGAGCCTCACAGTCGGAAGAAATGCACGTCTAGTGTTTAAAGTTTTTCAGTGGTTGTTACTAATATTGTAGGACTCCGATATGATATTAAACATTGTTTTTGCCCAAATCAATCAACAATGGTGTACCGATTATAAGCAAAAATATTGTAGTTTTGAATTTTATGAGTTCTATCAATAAATACCTCCGACAGATTCTAATCCAGAACGAAGGAATGTTACTGCATTCTCCGCTTTTCAATTTATTTTATTTTATCTTTTAAATAGTGGGGATTGAATTCAAATCCCGATATATCATTTATTGCAAATCCCACAAATAATCATTTCAACACAGTTTTAAAATATTCAAAGTTTATTGTTACCTGTAATTAAAAGATCAATCTACATAGTAAAACAATTTTATTTCTTCAATTTGAGATAATGAATTACTTACTAAGGTACAGTACAGATATGATGAATATGTTCAAATCACTTTCATCACTGAATACGAAACATTTATGTGCACACACGACTTTCAGAAATTGAATCTAGTCCTGTCATGTTTTGTAATGAGCATGTTACGTTTAGATTCCTGAGTTACAAAATAGTAGTCCAAAGTTTTAAGTATAAGATGGGTTTTGTGGATATTATAATAATTTCAATGGTTAAGATCATGAGTCAGTTGAAGTTAGACCACCATGGGAAACCTGGAAGCAGTAAACCGCCGTTTTGTCCTGTTATGGGACTCCTTAGCAGTGCGCATCCACGACCGCGCCTCCTGTGAGATTCAGACCCAGGACCTACTGGTTTCGCATGACAGCACTTGACCACTAGGCCAGTGAGCCGGCATCCAACGGTGTTAATGTCTAACTTCAACTAATCCACGAAATTGGGTGACACATCCACCATTGTCTTCAGTGAGTTACTATCTCACAACGGACCAGGTTGAGCTCCACTAGTCACTACTTCTCACTAGAACTCCAGGATATACATCGTGAACCTCATGACTCATGATCTTAACCATTTAAATTACTATAATATCCACAAAACCCCATCTGATATTAATCAACATATGCTCACTAGTGACTTGCTCAATTTATTCAGAATTATTAAGTCAAACATTGATAATGATATCTACAAATTTTTGGTGGTTAGTTTATTTGTGATTTTAGGTTTTCATTGGTTCGTCAGACAAAATCAAGCTGTAACCAAAAATATCTTTAAAATTATTCTATAATCTATAAGTCTCGTAAAATGAAGATCTCTACTTATAGGTCTAACTGGTCATTCATCACAGGTACAGTAGATTTAAAAATAAGTAGTCAAATACAAAATAACACTTCATCACTATTTATACTAATTAAGATTGTAGCCAAACATCTAGAGCATCTTTCATTTATCAGTGTATTATATATATATATATATATATATATATATATATATATATATATATATATATATATATATATATATATATATATATATATATATATATATATATATATATATAGTGAGCAGATCCCGAAAAGTCGATAAAACTGAACGTATGTATGATATTAATTCTTAAAACACTGTATCAGATTAGTTTAAATTCCATTATAAATATCCATTATGTTATCGCTAAAAACTCATTGACGATATTCAGTTAGTATGAAATCTAGGTCTCAGGTTTCTCATTGATCACTTTCAATCATTTTAAATAATACAATATTATAATCGACATTCAACACAAATTGTAATCTCTTGTTTAACTATCAATATACTTACGTTTCTCTCCAACAAATACTAGAAATATTTTCAAGTTTTTATCATGGTCATTCTATATTTGTTGTAATATAACTACATTGTCTTACATATTCTTATTTACTTTCTCCCTTACTATTTCATAATTCCATGATTAACCTGAAGTTGAAAATCTGTAACATATATATTTGTAATCAGTTGTTTAAAATGTACTACTATCCTTCAAACTTTAAGTGATGTAATGTTAATGAATTTCAAACTAGACTGAAGTACTTGTCCTACTCTATCTAGTTTCTCCTGTTGTTTTTAATTTCAAATCTATGTTTCTTACTATTATCTGGATAACAATAAAATTTTCACAACTAAAGCATACAATTCCAAGAATTCATCTTCATCTAATCTCTCTTGTTCTATAACGCTTTAGATAGATAGATATATTACCGCCTTATTGTGATTTTTTTCTGTCTATTACACTTACATTTACATTAGGTCAATGAGTCAAATAAATTTAACATTCAGTTTTGAACCTGAATAATAAATAATATAAATATGACTGTTATATTTGGATCTTTAGAAGTCAATCACTATATATTAATGTCGACTTTTCTATCATCTGCTTTCAGTCATTTAAAAGAAGAACAAAGTCATAATCACTAAATGATGCTAGAACAATATGATTAAGAATATAAATATTTTGTAACTTAATTAATAAAAGCAGTGTATTTAATGTTATTTTTAAAGTATTGTTTATTCAATAACAGAATAATGATACTTGTTTACATAGTGATACACAATTGCGTGTACGTACTTACATATAGGCATCGACGTCTATTTACTAACAGACAGATTAACCAGAAAATGGTATAAAAACGATTTCTTAATTCATGTTATTTAACGAGATGAGTTCTGTACGTGAGATTCAATTACCAAGTAAGTTTAGGTGGTATTTATTTTTAACAAAAAAGATAATAAGATTCATCATTCGGTGTTGATGGGTGATATAAAATTGGTTATTTGATGTTTAACTAAGAAATTGGAATTTGTTAAGGAGTATTGACTTTCATTTTTTGTCTTGGAAAGATGATGTAAAATTACTATTCAGCTATTACTTATCGATTCATATATATTTATTACTAACCGGTTTTTGATGGGAAAATTCCACCTATCATGGAAAAATAACCCAGCTGTTGTATACACTATCTTTTATAATGCTAAATATTTCTTAAGCTTATTAGATTACAATGGTAACATTAATCATCGAATGACCAACAAAAAATGTAACGGAAAGAAGGATTGCAAAAAATGTACATAATTTCTCTTAGAAAACATGTCATCTTATACAACACTTGTGTATTCATTAAATTATTATTTACTGAATAAAAAGAATTCTTATTTATAAAGTTCAATCTTCTTTCTGTTTGCTTGTATGAACATGTTATTCTCGAGATGGTGAAAAAGATTTGTAGTTCAGGTGGATGATTATGATGAAGTTTTGTTCACTGAGCTGGATGGTTTTAATAGTGGAGCTTTCATTGTTCTTTTGATTAACATCATCAGCACAAATTCAGGTAGAAGTCTACTTCCACTTCTATGAAAAAACATATTATTTTCGTAACAGTTTAGTCAAGTTAGGTTCATTCACAAATTAGCAGAATCTTTTCAAGGGTAATAGGACTTTAATTATAATGTTATTAGTTACACATTCAACCCATTTTTTTTAAATTCAGATTAATATAATAAAAAATTTTATTCATTACAATGATGCTAATTATTAAATGTGTATAGTATACTGTTTACTAAATGTACTTCTGAGTACTAAATTATACAGGAAAGAGAGTAAATGCAAAATATGAATCTTTCAATATATAAGATTTACAAACGATATAATCTGAATGTATCTAAGCGTTAATCTATACAAACGTTTGCTATTTCTACATATAACATTGTCTAATTCACTTATTTGTATATACCTTATTATGATTTGAATTATTGTGCATCATTCTTCTTTCAAATATTCCTTATTTTTCAAATATATAAAATCATTTATTTAAATAAATGGCATTAAATAGAATTCTTTGTGCATAAGTGATTGAATGGTATGATTGAAATGGACATTGATCAGTAACTTCAATGAGTAATACCATTTATTATGTAGTTAAAAGAAATCGTGTGTTAAATTCTATTTTTAACAGTAAAAAACTGATCAATATGATATCACACGTTTTACAAACCACAACTATTCATTTACAAGTCCGTTATGACTCAAACAGAATATGAATGACTTCTTTGATTATGATATTAAGAGGAAAGGGAAGGGAATAGTTTACCGGGTCATTCATAGTTTCAAATAAATTTTTCTAATGACGGCCAACAACTTTATAGCTTAAAATATGAGTTTCTTTTGAACTAATTATGATGCTTAATTACCTATATTGGTAGTCACTTTGTAAGCTGAATTGACAACAATCGATAGACAGTGCGAAAATTGAATAATTTGACATTATTAATTTTTATATCCTGTTTTATAACAATAAAATCCCTTAAATTTATTTAAATTACTTACTTACTTACTTACGCCTGTTACTCCTCGTGAAGGAGCATAGGCCGCTCACCAGCATTCTCCATCCAACTCTGTCCTGGGCAATCCTTTCTAGCTCCATCCAGTTGTAATTCATCGTTTTCATATCTGCTTCTATTATCCGACGCAATGTGTTCTTTGGCCTTCCTCTTCAGGATTCCAAGTTAGGGCTTGCCTCGTGATGCAGTTTGACGATTTGCGTAATGTATGTCCTATCCATTTCCATCGTCTTTTCCTAATTTCTTCTTCAGCTGGAAGTTGGTTTGTTCTCTCCCATAGAAGGCTATTGCTGATGGTATCCGGTCAATGGATGTTGAGTATATTGCGTAGACAGCTATTTATAAATACTTGTACTTTCTTGATTGTGGTTGTTGTTTTATAACAATAAAATCTCTTAAATTTATTTAAATTATCATTCATAAAACTCTTCATATATATAGGTGAACAACAAACAATCATGAATTGTGATAGTAAGTTTAAGTAAGTTAATTATAAACTTATTCAATTATTAATTTCATTACTTCATGCAGAAAACCGATTCCATTTCAATATTATTCAAATATACACAACAAACTAATTGTAGTTTTAATGATAACCTGTTACATGTTTAAATGAGATAAATGCAAATAGTAATAATGATACCTTTATAAGTATTTTGATTCAGATTTCATGCTTGGTTAAGATAAATAGATTTTAAGTTAGTTTCTATCACAAACGGTTGTCTAGAATGGAAATTTTCAAAAATCATAAAACCATTCATACTATTATGATTACAGATCAACATAATCTGTTTTATCCTAATATGAGATTCATCAGAAGTACTCATATACGAATTTGCAATAAATCATTGTATTTCTATAGTATAGGATTCCTATTTTACGTTGTAGACATACAACATTACATTTATGAGGTCCAACTCAAAAACTGTGTTAAAACCCAGTGATCCCTAATACAACTCTTGATAATAGTGAAGCTTTAACTGTTTTCATTCATTTGAAGCAACATAACTTGATGATGATAGCTGTACTATGTCTGCAGTCAAACCATTCACAGTATATGGCCATTTATTCTAACGTTCGTTACTATATAAATGTATATATAAATGAGAGAGATATATGGAAAAGCTGTCAGAATTATACTTTGTGTTCCACTGTATGATCATGAACCAGAAAATAATTATTAGGGTTCAGTAAATTTTTTTTTACAATAATCTACCTAACACTAATCAATAACTATTATCATAAGTTTAAACGTTAAAATTCACCGACACATTTTGCGACTTTCAATCGTTTTCCACTCTGTTCTAGCATTCTTAAATCGTTCATTCTATGTTGTACAAACATTAAAGCCGTTGAATGTGATTCACTTCAAAGTACTTTGACTTCATGGAAATATTTCATATATATATATATATAATGCAATATTACAGTAGCTATTACACAGGACACTAAATGATGAAGTGTTAAACAGTGAGTGAGATTAACTACTATAGTGATAGAAATGAGGGAATATTTAAAAACAAAAGTAATAAATAGATTACCTCGGTAGTTTGTAATGAGATTTCTATTATGTTGTGGATGCGAAGGATAGACCAATAATTATCATGTTAAGTCCAATGGTGTCCTTGGACTTTAAATGGACATTTCCTACTGGTCGATATCTGTCCACTTGTTGAATATGGTACAAAATGTTGTTTTATATTTTTATGGTACGATGTGGTATGTTTGGTTAGTATATAAATAGAGTATGTCTGAAATACAATGATTCATAACTCAGAGACTGAGATTTGTGTTCTGAACTCAACTGGCTGGGATAGATAGGGAAGTGGAACCAATCGGAACCCTAGGTCGTCCATTACGTTCGTACGTGTTTACGTGTCATTGAATCGGTCGATAAATACGCTGCTCTCTAGTTTTTCAGTCAAGGACACAACAATTAGCACAGGGTAAAAATCGACCCAACTTAAAGCCACAACATATTATTTCAATGTAATTTTGTATCATTGACTGATTGAAGCTAAACTTGTAAACCGTTAGATACCACTACAATGATTTAGAGGTTCAGGGCTTGTATGCAAGCCCGAAAGATCTCAGGTTTAATTCCCGTTTACGAGGTCATAGTTGGTCACTATTGTGAAGTCCCATACTAGGACGAAACGACCATCCAATATCTCTAGGCTTTCATATATATTTAATCAGTTTATGATTTCAATGTAATTTATACATTTTTAACTTCTAGATCAGTTATATTTCATCATGTTTTTCATTTGTTTGTTTATTTTTTTTTCTTTTTAATATACTTTAGTGATTCATTTTGGTCAGAAGTTTTTAAAACAGTCGATAAAAATCATGATGGACGAATAAATAAAAAAGAATTTAAAAAATTCATGTTAACTAATGGCGGTAAATTTACTGCAAATGATATTAAAAAAATATTTACTTATTGTGATACAGACAATAGTGGTTATATTGATTTTTTGGAATTCAAAAATTTTATGGAAGGACATTGATTAACAATATTGAATTTCAATTTGCGCACACATATTTCCATTTATTTATTTAAACAAGGCTTGATTACTTTTAATATTTTCCTATTTTTTTCTTTGTCATTATGTTTATCTTTTGATTTGTTTATTTTCATGGTATTTCAAGTTCTTCAAATGGCATATTACAACAACTTCATACATTTTATTTGTGATGTTTAAGGTTAAATTGAAAAATTACCTTTTTAATTATCAGATTTTCTACTTAATATTCATTTAACTACTTTGTTTACTGATGTGAATAGATTAAAAAATAGTCATCATATTTCTTGTATTCATTCGGCATAATAAAAAAGTTAATATTATTCTTATTAACTTAGTGACAGAAGAGAACGGTTATTGGTTATTTTGGGGATTTTTATTTCCATTTTTTTTTTGTTTTGAGTATTTTCTTAGTGATTAAAAAAAAGTTATAAATTATGTAATGAAAATACAATGAATGTTTGTTCTAATGATTCTGTCACTGTCTACCGGTTAATATGTTGAATTATTACTATATTTGCTTTGTTTCTTTCGCTAGTAAGAATTTATAACTTAATTTTATAGCTTTCCTGATATCATTGTCAATCAGTTCCGATAAATAAATACATTATGTTAGTGATAAACAGTGTAGTAGATCAACGGAAATTCAAGAAATTAATTGATTCTTTGTTGAAACGTTTATTTTTACTTATTCTGTTTGGTGATATATGTAAATAGTTACTGATACACATATGTAGGAGAGTAACCAGTCTCAAACTATGTATTTGTTAGTGAAGAGATTTAATCAATTAGCTTTACAATGTACTTGTTAACGTGAATGTGTAGAGATAAATGTTGATATTATTTAGCGTACTATAGCCTGGAGTCCCTCCGGGGGCTACTGCCGGTCTCAAGCCCGGATAAAGGAGGAGGGTTGGGCATGGGGTTAGCGTCCCCATCCCGTAGAAAACTAACTCGCTAAAAAAACGCTAACCAGCCTATTTAATGCTTATATTGATAATAATAATCAGTAATATATATATATATTCCAAAGCTCAAAGGTATCTATGCTTCCTATAAGTTTAAATACACCTCAGGATTAACTACTTTTAATAAATTATTGAATAATATGGACTTCATTTAATTACCGATTAAAGGCATTCTTGAAACTTTAAACACATCAAACATCATGCTTATTTTAAAAAACAAAAAATTTAGCTTCTAAAAAGTTATTTTCATAAATGTTTTCATGCTTTGGTATCTAAAATCATCCATAAGCCATTAAATAACAATATAATTTATTGACACTTTAAAATGTTTTATTTCTAGTTAGATCCCATATAAGTGAAATTTATATTATAAAACGTGCCTACTTTATATGGTGATTGGAGGTAGTTGACAGGAAACCCTGAACCCGGATTTCGGGCTACTTGGCACTCGTCAGCAAGGTGTACCTGTAATCTTGAGGGAACTGGTGCTCCCTGACGGATCCAATCCTGTGTCACTCAGCTTCACAGACGTTACCACTGAGCTATCCGGGCCGCGACCAACCTCCTGGCCCTGGTCCACCACGGTACTTGGTAACTGTGTGGTTGCGCCACAGGACTTAACTGTACTATTCAGATTGTAGCGTTAATGCCTATACGGTGTCTGGTTCTCCTTCTAAACGGGGTTGAGCTGTATTGCTGCCACGAGTAACCTAGACTGGTGGCCACATTGCAACATGGTCGATAGCATGCGATCTGCACTAATAAGGACTCGACAAACATGACAGTGATCGCCACCCAGTGATCAATCAATTGTGATTACATGCCTACTTTATTATAATATTAATAGTAGCAAAACAAAAGCCCTTTTTATTTGAATAGAAAAGGTTATTGTACAAAGAACTTTATAAACTGATCAATTTTGTAATTAATATTACAATAATTCAAATAATTAATAAAATAATGATATAATTATGACACCTAGATACGTAGGAAGTCGAATCACTAATATGTTGTGTAATTTTAATTTAAGTTGCTACTTCAGAAAATAAGTAAATTAAAAATAACCTCAGTTTAAATAGTTAAGATAAAATATTTAATCTCTTCAAATTCAGAATAGGTTTGATTATAATAATGTCACGTAATTTTGGTCAAGGTGATTTTGTGTAGGATATCGTCCTATGAATCTTTTTTGTAGTAAGTATGAAAAATATGAAATTTAGAACATGAAAGAGTTGGAATGTTATTGTATGTGTATTATTTGAAGGAGTAATGAGCAGAATTAAATGTGTCTGTAGAAGAATAGAATACGACTAGATGGTGGTTGGAGCTAGTCGACAGGGAACCCTGAACCCGGGTTTCGGGCTACTTGGCACTCGTCAGCAAGGTGTACCTGTAATCTTGAGGGAATTGGTTCTTCCTGATGGATCCGATCCCGTGTTACCCAGCTTCATAGTCAGAGACGTTGCCAGTGAGCTTTCCGGGCTGCGACAGACCTCCTGTAGGACTGAGATGTAATCACAATTGATTGACCACTGGGTGCTGATCAATATCATGTGTGGCAAGTCCTTATTGGTGCAGATCGAATGCTGTCGACCACGTTGCAAGGTGGCTACCAGTCTAGGTGACCCGACACTGCGTGGACTATGTTGAGATTAGATGGTGACATTGATCACCATCCAGTAATCAATCAATTCTGATAGAATACGATTATATCATGAAGTCATTTGAGATTTTAAATATTAATACAAGGTTGTGTAATAACTGAGAGATTGAGAAGAGTAGGAGAACGGAACTCATTTGGGGTCAGACATATGAAATATAATTGTCCACTTAACAGATATTAAGAAGAAACGAACGGAGTAATATTTGGTAATAATCATGCAAAATTACTAGAATTTAATAATAAATGAGTAAGGTTTAACATGTACGAAATATTAAACAGATTAAAGTATTTATTGAGACGAGTCAAAATTTCACAAGATGACTGTGCCAACATAGAACCTAGCATAATCAACACAAACTAATCTGTAGATGTGATTCTGTGTAGATGTAAAATCCAGACTAATGTATTCCCTGTCATCTAGTCTTATGTACACATTTATGATGAATACTGAACAAGAATAGACTAATTCATTTGTAATGGTTGTTTAAATCGTTCCATTAATGTTTAGGACTGTAGATGATTAGTCTTTTTTGGTATATGTGCTATCCTATTTAGCTATAATAATTCAATAATTTACTTTGTGAACACATATTTACTATATTATACAGTTAAGCATCAATAATTCTTCTTAAGATGTGAATACTTATCATACACGATTGGAGGAAATCATTTTCATACATCATTCACACACACAAATTGATTAAGCCATTGCTCGAGAAATGAGGATACTGAAAAATAAATTGAGGATATCCTTGATAAATAAATAAGTACATAATTATAAGTTCAACGTAATGCAATAATACTGAGGGTTCTTCGGAACTGTTTACATCAATGACTAGCCTTAGTTACACAACCGTTCAAAACCAGCAAGCACTGGACAGCTATTTCGTTCCAGTATGGGACTTCTAAACATACCACATCCATGGTCTGAATGAGGTTCAAACTCGAAACATTCTGACTTCATAGGTAGTTTTTAACCTCTAGACAATGCTAGGACGTAATATCTTTCCAGTGCTTCCAGTAGTGGTTTACAATGATTGTCAAATCAATGTCAGTCCTTAATATAAACTATACAAAACAAAACCAAAACATTTTATTCTTCAGGTTTTCAGGTCTTAGGTAACAATGAACCTTAAATTAACTAACCAACATACATGACATTTAATTTCTACTCTTAACAACCTCAATAAAATTGAAATTTCCTTCAAAACATCCTTATTTTCAAGTCGCCACGTTGAATATAATCATAATTTTAAAGTGCTAGAAATTAATGTAAATTAAAACAAATTTAAGTACATAGAATTGTTTTCATATCAGAAAAGATTTTGTGCATATTATTTAATAGATCGACTCATGAGTCGATCGAAGCCAAAAAATCATGAAAAACCTGGAAGCACTGGTCAGCCGTTTCCTCCTATTTTCAGACTCCTCAGAAACTTTCGCAACCATGACCCAACCTCTCGAGATTCAAACTCAGTGGCTATCCGTCTCGCACGTGAGCGCTTAACCACTAGACCACTCAACTGGCCTGTATCCAACGATGTTAATGTCTAAACTCAACCAATCCATGAAATTGAGCTACATATCTACCATTGTCTTCAGTGAATTACTATCTCACAACAGACCCAGTGGAACTAAGGAGTCCCACAATAGGAAGAAACGATCATTCAGTTCTTCTAGGTTTTTCCATGATAGTCTACCTTCAATTAACTTATGATCTTAACTATTAAAAATATTATAAGCAAAGATTGATAGTGGCTAGCAGTGGAATCCAGGACGCGCGTTTCGTCCTATTTGTGACTCGTCAGCTGGATGTACCTGGATCTTAGAGTTGATGTTCACTCCGGGACTTGAACTCAGTACCGTTCGCTTCAAATGCCATCGCGTTATCCACTCAGCTGACGAGTCCCAAACAAGACGAAACGCGCGTCCTGGATTCCACTGCTAGCCATTATCCATCTTTGCCAATAATAATGCTTGTAAATTAAGGCAATATCAAGGCATACGCACAGTATGCACATATGTCAATAAGAGACTGATCAATTTCAGTCCTAAATCATCAATGGGAAGATTCAAGTAAAAACAATATCAAGTGAATTATTAAAATTATTATTTTTATTTAAGTATTAAACAGTCCTTAATATACAATAATAATAATATAGATTTATTATATAATTAGTTTCATGTTTTAAAAGATAATGATTGTAAATTACGTCAAATGATTTAAGTAATTATAACTAAAGAAAATTGATTTGAACAATAAATAAATAAATAAATAAAAAATCTAGATCTATACATAATTAAAATTTCAAAATTAATCAATATTGAAACATTTTTGTTGCCAATCACTATGAAAGTTTTAATGTAAAATTAAAAAGAAAAAAAAAGAAAAGTTTCAACAACAACAAAAAAACATTGATTTTTTTTTGTGTGTGTATATAGTTAACTTAAAATTACTTTGATTAGACAATAACAAACGATTAGATTGATCAATAATCTCTGATTTTATTCTTTTTTTTGTATTAAATGTACACTTCAAATTATAAAAATTTTTTGTTTTTTTTTGTTGTTTTATTTTCAAATAGGACGTTAAAATATTTACAAATAATAAACAAAATAATAATATCAAGAGGAGTTTTGTGGATATGGTAGTAATTTCAATGGTTCAGATCATGAGTCAGTTTGAATCTTGCAAGATGGGATCGTGGATGTACATTGTTGAGGAGTCTCACAACAGGATAAAACGGCCGTCCAGTTCTTCCACGTTTTCCATAGTAGTCTAGCTTCAACTGACTCATGATTCTAGTCATTGAAATTACTATCATATTCACAAAACTGCTTCTGATATTAATCAACATATGCTCACTAGTGACTGGCTTCAAGAGGTATATCCTGGAATTCTAGTGAGAAGTAGTGACCGGCGGAGTTCAACCGGGTCTGTTGTGAGATAGTAACTCACTGATGACAATGGTGGATGTGTCACTCAATTTCATGGATTTGTTAAAGTTATACTTTAACACCGTTGGGTGCCGGCTCAGTGTTCCAGTGGTTAAGTGCTCGCATGCGAAACCAGTAAGTCCTGTGTTTAAATCTCGCAGGGGGCGAGGTCGTGGATGCACACCGCGGAGGAGTCCCACAATAGGATAAAACGGCCGTCAAGTGCTTCCATGTTCTCCATAGTGGTCTAAGTTCAACTGACTCATGATCTTAACTACTGAAACTAATAATATACAATGAAAATATTCTTGTAAATATGGTAAAAGTAAGAGATAATATATTTGAGGTTAATTTGATTAAATGAATTTTGAACATTACTTGTTTAGGGATAATTTAAGTTTATTATGGTATACGATAAAAAAACTAATGCATAAAGATAAATTATGTTTCAGTGAATATAATCAGGAAGATGTGATTAGATTTAGTAGAGAGTATAAAACGATTAGTCAGAAGTTGAACTTGTTCAGTCTGCTATATATTTGAGAATAGATGTTACGGTTCTATTCTGTTACTTGTTAGACTTATTTACTATAGAGTAGATCATCATGAACTATTAACCTTCACAGAAGCAGTCTATTCTTTATCCAGAGATTAATCATCTATCAGCTATTGAGGGTTATATAGAATTTTCACATATGTGACATGTTGCAAGTTGATCTATTTATGTTTGACAAAAAACGTATTGCTGGTATTCTATTTGAGTTTTAGATATGTGGTTATTAAATTTTTTATTCAGTGTATTTGGTATTTAATGTGTTACTTCTGTAATTTTTTTATCAGACACAAATGATATCCCTTCGTTGAAAAGACTGGTTTCAAAAGTTTACTCGTTATCATCATTCATGTAGGGTGACGAATACAATTAATAATACTGTTACTAACAGGAATTAACAAGTTTTCATCTCTCCCCTTTTGATACTCAACATCTGAAAGTTAACATTTTTCCTGATTTGTTAATTTCCCAAGTATTTCATCGTTGGCTTCTGGTGACGACTAAATTATTTAAGCAGTTACTGATATTAGTTGTAAAATCATTGTAACTGACTGATGAAATACAGTAACTAAGAAAATTTCTGTAAAAACTAAAAAAGCTACCTGTATTTACATCTATTGATTCCCAGAGGTTTTGGGACTTTCGAAAAATCCTTAGAATTTTTAGAATAAAATATGTCAACATCTCTTTAACCAATAATTAACGCTTTATTTGGATGGTCCTGAGTAGTGAAATCGTTGAAGAGCAACATGAGGGAGTAGGATACCATATTACTGGTAAGTTCTTGTTTGGATAATGATCCTTGATCTAATGAATGGATTTACTTGATGAGGAAATAAAACTTCTCTTGGCTAATAAAGTACACAGTCCGTCTGAGGAATCTTGACATTTCCGGCATATTTCAATATTAATTCATTAATAGATATTTAGATGGTTTTAATCTCATCGTATCATCGTTTAGGATTAATGGGAACTGACTGAGACCATGAAATACTATAGAGGCTTTCAGTTTCAGTTAATGACATCAAACTTTAAAGTCATGAAATGAAACTCAGCACCTTACTAGTTAACCACTTGTACGGCATCCGACGAATTCTTTTTTATAAAATCTTTGAGTTTGAGGTACAAGCTGACCAACAAATATTGTGATCACTGGGCTCGTATTCTCACTGTTCAATGGAGTGATATTACACATTACTACTTTAGACAGTATATTCTGAGAAAAGTTGCTTAGGAAAAGAGGCATTAGAAAGTTCGAAAAACAAGTCTTTATTTCTATGTGAAACGATGACTCCTGCTTTTGTACGCAATGAGAATCCAACTATTATCTTGTATTAGTGGATTAGTTTAGTTACCCATCCGTTTTCCGACTATGGGATTGAACTGTAAACATTCATTTATTGAATCGAGACACTCATTATCGAAGTTGTATACTACATTTCGTAATGTATGATCGTCATCTTCTTCCTTGAACTGAACCTCTTCAACCAGTTTCTCAGCTACATTTCGAACATGTAACACAGATGTCCTGAGCGTAATGTTCAAGCTTGCTACTAAAATGTCATCGATATAAAGGATATATAAACTTTAAAGACGAATTTGATGTACTTGTAAGTAGTATAACTGTTTTGCAGAAATTTCATTACATGTGGAGTAGCCTTAACAAGTTTTAACATTAAGGATAGTCGTATCAGAAAACAGCTTCTATGAATGTGTGTGCACTAACTCAACAAAAACTTCAGATCTTCGTCTTGATACTAGATGGAACAGAAAGTGATTCTAAGAGGTAAAATGAGTAACTGATCATCGACTCTTGGGTTTTGCTGATTCTCCAGTAAATTTCAAATCACTGTATATATAACTATAAAAAAAGGAGACAAACTTTTGCCACGACGATTGAGTTACGCATTCTGTCAGATATATACAACGACTGAATAATCATTCACTACTAAAGTATAATGTTATCCTTTCCTCAATATTTGTTGTTATCTCTAAAATGCTTTTTCTTCAAATATCACATTTAAATACGTTTTGTGCACATGTAGAAGTGATAAGAACTATTACAGGTATAGTGAACAACGCTCAAGCCTTGACATATTACTTAGATATCAACTGGATCCTATGTACATTGTCAGTATTAGAGAATTAACTTACTAATATGATGAGTTAATTGGAAAACAATTAGTAGTGTTAGATTCTCATCTTGAGTTTTGCATTGAACTAAGGCTTGTGGGCAGACATAAACTTCACTATTATGAGCTAAAAAAGAAAACTAATCTAAATATGATATTACATTGCTAGTAATAGTATAAGATTTCTAAACATAGCCAGTCATCATAACTGAAATTTTATTCTTGAAAAAATGATCTTTTGTCCTTTTAATTGAATTTAAACCAGAAGAACTCAATGTAGAATCAGTTGAGATTATAGTACAGATAAATGCGTGTGAAAAGTATGACATATGTGAAAATAATAATAGACTTTAATCTTTGAAAGATCAAGGATAATAACTATTCCTAGTTATTTATTTAAGGATAACCGCTGAGACCTACATTCTTGTTAAAACTCATTACAAAAGAAGTTACTCTTTATGACCAAATTATAACAGTCATATTTTACAAGAGTTCAGAATTCTATTTAACAATACTGAATATCAACACAAAATATGTTATAGGAGAGTGAACTCAAATGCTATAGCTTTTTTGACTTAGTAACGAGCGGTGAAGTTACATCTTAAAACTTTATATTACTGAAGAGTTATGTGTGCTCAATTCCAGAATGAATTCTAATGAATTATAGCGGTTTTTGAGAATAACTACCTATTAATGTATAGTTGTGTGAAGAATGACACTTTGATCAATAGTCAAATATTACATTGCTCAGAGAATAACCTATTCTTATATCGAAATTTCAATTCATTTTATAATATTTGATAAACGAATTTATCGGACCAAAATATTATAAAACGGTAAGTGAAAGATTAATTACGACACGATAAGTTTAATCTTTCTTTACCCATAGAGTATGAACATATATATATATATATATATATATATATATATATATATATATATATATATATATATATATATATATATATATATATATATATATATATATATATATATATATATATATATATATATATATATATATATATATATATATATATAGTGTTAATAGGTACCTATCCAAATAAATTCTACCAAAATCTTTACTTGTCTCACAGAAGTTAGCTATTGCAATTTTTTGCTATAATTTAAGGTTTATGATTTCAACAGAAACTCTGAACTGATTGTATGTACTATCAATTAATTTGTTACAAAAGTAATACAAATTAGTGTCTAATACTAATCTATCAACTAACAAGAGCAGGTTAATGGTTTACTGTACTCGAAATTAAAGTATCTGAATAGTGAGTTCATACTTTTGTATGTATATTAGCAATATTTACAAAGATTAGCAAGCGATGCTAAAACAAACGTCTGCGGTAAAAAAAAAAATATATTGATCTATTTACAAAATCTTGTACAAAAATGAAGTTTAATACATATATGCAAATATACTACTATTAAGTAGTAAGTAATTATTATGTAGATAAAAGAATAGTTTGTTGAAATTAACAGAATAAATATCACAGGAAATGTTCATTTACAAGATAAGTAAAACAAAAAATGAATTAACTCATAAAATTTCGTTTGCGGGAATAATTATTGAAAAGCTTTTGTTTACATAAAATCACAAACTCATTATAACCTTCATTAATCAAGTGTTTAAATAAATTCATATAAGTTGGTTTAATGTTCGTTTTGGGATTAGAATTAATTTCTATCCAGTTTAATAAAATAAGGTAAGATGTGTAACGTGGATCAATTTTACTAAAATTCAAAACTTTCGACCAGTTTTGATCGAAGGAATTCAGTTCATTATAAGTAGGATGACATATTTTAAGCCAGCATTTCCAATTCGGTGCATTTGTACTATTACATAAGTGAATAATATTCCATATATCGTTATCTTGAATAGATCTATCTGAAAAAAGAAATAACGAATTGGTTTCTTTGGTTTTCTGATCACATTCAGTGAAATTTGGTATATTTTTAACAGGAGATTGTATTTTTTCCAAAAATGATATGACATTCTTGTGAATTGCTTCAGTTTCTCGTTTAGTTTCTTCGATTTTTGCCTGTACAACATTTAATATATGTTCAGTTGTTTTGTCCGTTGTTGAAGACATCGAAGGATGCCATAGATTAGGTAGTAAGGCTTGATTTGATCTACGCTGTCGAAGTAAATTCTTATCAACTCGACGTTTTGTTACAATTTTAGGTTTACGAATAGATTCATACTTTTGTTGTCGGATTTCAATATTATTATTATCATTATTATTATTTGTACATTGTTTTTTATGTGGTGTAATTTGAGATATTTCTTCATCTGAATTCAGATAAGACGAGGCACGTTTAATAGGTGTACCAAATTCTACAAAATTATCAAACTCTTTTGCCAGTTTAAAAGTGGGTAGTGTAGTAATGTGATCAGGATCATTTGGTTGACCAGTCGTTGGCAAGCTATTTCTTCGTCTAACATGTCTTGACCATGGTTTTTTCAAGTTCATCATTCTATCTAGACTACCATTTCTAAATATCTTTCTTTTTGATTCATTTATAATTTGTTTAGGCTGATAATGATCGTCTCCACTTGCATATTGTGTTTCAACATGATTATATTGTTCAGTAGTAGAAAAAGTTATATTCTGATTCGATTGGTTCGGATGACAGATACCATGAGATATTTCTGCGATAATAGAACAGAATTAAAGCGGGAAAACAGTTAGAATAAGAACATTATGACATTTTTAAAAAGAGAACGGAAATTATGTATAGATGACTAGATAACAATTAGAAACCACCTAGATTAACACAGTCAGTTATCGTAATATTACGTCGCATTGGTCTTAGCACACTTCTCATGAATTTAGAAATTGGTAAGCTTAACCGAACCCCGTCTTCTTTTCTTCACAAGAATCACACCATACGGCATTACTGAATTAAACATCATTTATTAGAGGTTAGACGTGAGTCAAAAACGCTTTTGCTCTTTCATATAGAAACATAATTCTACAGGTTAAATAAAACTAAGCACACATATAACACTCAATATGAATTATCAAACTCTTTAAGCTAGATATTTGTGGCATCAGGCTGGTTTTCTCTAAAATTAAGACTCTAAGCTTGAAGATATTTTTATCCCAAATTTACATATATTAGAAACCAACTGAAAGCTCTGACTTTTGAATAAAGAGGTAACTTGGTGTTCTTATGTAAGATGGTAGGAGGTGGTTTGTAGGAAACATTTGACCTAGGCTTCGTATTAGCTAACACTCTTTAGAGGGATGTATGTACGGTCATGAGGAAGCTGATTCTCCCCGAGTTCACTCATTTCAGACGTGTGAGGAGTTAGTTAAAGTATCTACAATTCCATTTACACTTTAACAGTATCTTCATATCTCCTATTAAAACCTTAATTTTTGACACCATGCTTAAATTATCTTCAAAGTCCTTTTTCTAGATCCAAATAATTGAGTAGAAAGAGAAGTACAACAACTGCCAAATAAAGATCACGATGAAGTGAATATCATATAAAACTATTACTCGTCATTCCAACAACTAGACATCAACACTATGTTCCCTATAACATCGAGTCCACACTTTAACATTTCAACTTGATTCATAGAATTTGACCATTAATTAAAAACAAACAACATAATTTTGACTACTACTCAATTATTTCCATTAGCTTTAATAATGACCGGTTGAATGATTAACTGACCTACACATCATATGGTTGGATTTGAACGGATACATTTCCAATAATAGAATTAATTATTCACCAACTTAAAATAACAAATAATTATTATTGTCAATAACAAGCTAGAACACATATTGTCACATAGCTGCCATGATATAAAAAATTTCAATGTAATCAAACTAGAACTCAATAGAAGTTTACTATAGATTTTTTTCAAGATAAAACATTATTTGTGAACATTGAATCGAAATAATAACTTTGAAGTTAACCTGCAGGTTTATTCACTAACATAGATACTAAATCAATTCATCAGAATTTATTACAAGTAAAGATTAACATTACTGGTTAAATGAAACGTTCAAATTCTGTTTATAATCGATTATATGTTATTTTATCAGTTTAATACAAATTAAATGAGCAACTAAAAATTTAATGAAATGGAATAAAAATCAGGTCAGTGTTTTGGTAAATAAGTTGAGTTGTCAACACAACTAAGAGACATTTATGTTATGTTATGTTTGTATGTGTATATGTTATGTATATATATATATATATATATATATATATATATATATATATATATATATATATATATATATATATATATATATGTCTGAACATTTAGCATGTAAGATGAGAATGAGAAACATTTAAAGATTAGACAGATGTTAACGGATTACGTAACCTAATCATCATTAATAATTGATATTATTATTAAAATAATAAATTATACGTGACAAGAACAGCAATTATGCTTGTTTACAATGAAATAAAAAATTATTTTGATATGTGCAAAAAAACATGAACATTTATAACATAATTTCTTTCGTACTGATTATAACAAAATAACCACTGTCAATCAATTTATCACATTGGAACAGAAGAGTTATATTGTATAGTATTTAACGAAACTAGATTAGTACTCCATGATGAATACATTAATCTTACGAACTCAATCAGTCAGTCATCTTTAAGATAAATGAGAGGAAATTATGTCAAATACAATTTAAATGGATTTAATGAGATCGAACAATCAAAAGTTAGGATCAATACAGTTCAAATATAAAAATAAAACCGTATTGTAGTTCAAAAGTTAACAATTCCAGCTGATTAGATAAGTATCCTCTGTATATATACTGATTAAATCTTAGTGACTTAAACAACAAACTTATAACCAGTAGGTAATAATGTCGAAAACAGATTTACATATACCCTATGAAGGCGAAAAATTGTATGATTCATAGTCTGATATATGTTATTGGATGTGTTACCAAATCGCATCACTTTTAAATTGTTAAGTTCAAAATAATTGTAGTATCCTTCTATTGGTGATTACTTCGTATACTTTTTCTAAATTAAATTATGTTATCGATTTCTAAAAAAAAACATCGAGCTTTGTAATTTATAATTTAATAAAAAAAAGGAAATATGAAAGAAGCACTAAGCATTTATCACTTAGGTAACTTATGCCCTGGTAATATGTCATAGAAATTCAACTTCAGTTTGATTACATCACTGACTGATGTCAACTGAAGGAACATTGAAATTCAGGGAGTGTCAGTTTTAGGTTGTAGAGATTTTCATTGTTATCAGATACCGATATAAGTTAGACCACTATCGTTTTATTATGGAACTCCTCAGCAGTACACACTCACGATCCTGCACGTGGGACCCGAACCCGAGATCTTTAATCCCATGAGCGAATGCTTAACCTCTAAACAATTGAGTCGACATCCAACTGTGTGAGACAGATGTTGAGCCTTTGGACTATTTGATAACGAACATCCTGGAATTCATGGAGATTCTAAGTCAGAAACATTGTGCTTCGTGACAAGAATAATACGGTTGTTCGACCCAGCTGGGACCCATCTATCCACATTGTTAACTTGTTTTTCCACTGTTAAACTACTGTGAATTGGATACCGTAAAACCGAAATTTGTGTAGAGAGTTACTCGTGATATTTTGTTCACACAAAAATGACCATTACTGGCTGAATCAGGTAAAATAAATACTAATCCCTTGTTTTATAGTTATGTGGATTGACTGATCAATACTGGAATCCAAATTTACTTAATATCTTATATTCCCCAAGTCTTCTGGAAAACGATTCTTCGCTAAACAATAAATTTAATAGAAATGATTATTTTTGAATTTTAGTTTTTCTTACCCATACTCAATTCATATACTATCTTCTTACAGTTCTGAACCATTTTTATTTACGATGTAAATATGTAAAGATGATGTGACGCATTACTTGATTAACTAACTAATTGTTCTGTTTTAATTACTATTTTTCATATGAAGATCGCTGGAAAAACTTCGTTGAGCGGAGACTTCAAACTTACAACCCAACAGTTAGAAGATAGGATATATATCCGTGAACGTTTAGCACATCTGCTTCTTATGGTTCTGTATTTATAAAATACCTAACATTTTTCAGCTTATTTATTAAATAAATGTTGCATATAAAAACATAATTTTCACTGAGGATTTCATTTCAAGCTCTAACTTTCACTTTGTCTGCTTTTCTACATCCAGTAAATTGGTATGAACTATGATGTTTTGTTCATAGGAAACATAAGTAGATTGTTTTACATAAATAAAATGAAATCTTCAGTGAGAATTATACACTTATGCACAAAAATGAATGTAAAACTGCTCAGAAATACCAGATATCTTACTTTTAATAAACACTAAAAAAGTATATTTTTATCAATAGAAACAGAAGTAAATAATTTTTCAAAAAGTTTAGTAGAAACGTAATCAATACACTTTTATTATAAAAATTTGTAGCCTATAATGTTGACCAAGTTTATGGTGAGGTAATTACTCACCATTGACATCGGTTGACGATCATTCAATATTGAACTATCATTCTTTTCTAGTTTTCATTCATCATACTATTAATATTATTTAATGATAATAACGACTATCGTCATTAAGAATAATTGATTTATTATTATCAAGAATTTTCTGCCAAAAGTTTTACTATATGGCTTATAGTATAAGTAGAATCTTTGATTAATTGATGAGTTGAATTTTATCTTTCTACGTCAAATTATATATTTCTATATTTATTTTCAGTAATATCATATTTATAATAATAAACGATAATTACTTAATATCAGAAAAGATTTTTTGGATATTATAGTAATTTCAATGGTTAAAATCATGAGTCAGTTGGAGCTAGACCACCATGGAAAACCTGGAAGCACTGAAAGGCCATTTTGTCCTGTCGTGGGACTTCTCAGAAGTACATATCCACGATCCCGTCTCGCAAGACTCGAACTGACTCATGATCTTAGCCATTGAAATTACTATAATATCCACAAAACCTGGTTGGGGACCGCGAGATGATAGCAACCGATGGTTAGAGACCCTGAATGACATGGCTCAAAATCATTTGCAATGGCGCAGGTGCATACACTCTTTGTGCTCTTCCAAATTCTAATCTCCTGAATCCTCCTTGTCTCTTTTTTTCTCTTCCCAAATTTATTTCACAGGGCTATACTCCTTGAATAGCATCTTCAAACCCTAATCTTTCCGATTGCTGTTTATACTCTTACTACCTCTACCACTACGGGATTTGAATCGACAACTGCATCTCTGTGCTAATGTGGTGTGGCAACTCGAACTGATGTACGTACGTACGAAGTTCTACGTTGTTACTGACTGACTGACCACAAAACCCCTTCTGATACTAATCAACTTATGTTCACTAGTGATTGACTTCAAAAAGTATCTCCTGGAGTTCTAGTAAGAAGTAGTGACCAGTGGAGTTCAACCGGGTCTGTTATGAGATAGTAACTCACTGAACACAATAGTGGATGTGTCGCTCCATTTCGTGGATTAGTTGAAGTTAGACATTAACATCGTTGGATGCAGGTCAGTTCAATGGTCTAGTGATTAAGTGCTCACGCGTCAAACTGATAAATCCTTGGTTCGAATCCCGCGAGGCGGAATCTTGTTTAATTATGTAAACGAAATCTGTTTTGATACAAACATGATGAGTCATTTGTAACTAACAATATGGAATTGTTAACCAATCACATTTCATTTATTCATGGTAAAATGAACATATGTTTACATGTCATTATTTAAATAAATAAAGCTTAGAAATAAAATTGTGTTTTATATAGAACATATTGTATCAATTATATGAATAGTTATATGTTTCATGTGAGTAAACAAACATAAATTTGACTGCTTTATTATTTTTCTTTTTGATTAAGAAAAAAAAAGAGAATAAAAACACAATACAAAATAATTAATGACCTATTAATTAGTATTTAAAGTAAACGAATTGAATAAATATGACAATCACTAACATGGATACAACATGTTTATATTTTTTTTTAAAACTTGTTTAGAAAAATTAATTCAGGAATATTTGTATTATTGAATTTGGCATATTTCAAAATTACTATAACATTTCTATTATGAGTTGGTGTATGAAATTAGAATTGTTTAAATTATAAGCAAGTGAAATATCACACTAATAATAATAATAATAATAATAATAATAATAATAATAATAATAATAATAATAATAATAATAATAATAATAATAATAATAATAATAATAATATTGAATGCTTTGAAGAGATGGATGATAAATACATGTAGCTGTTCAACACGTGATAGAAAAAATAACAAGATATATCAGTGCCATAAATGACCTTTCAACAAGTGGAAACCTGTTTAGTTCTAATGTTAGCAATAATGAAAACAATAATAATACCCAGTGTAATACTGTTAACGGTTCCTATAAACCATAGTTCTCTATGATCACGTGGTTCGATCAACTAAACAGAATCATATATATTCTATTGCATTGTACATGAACTTATTTTTCTTCTCATGAATCTCCTGCATATATATATATATATATATATATATATATATATATATCTGAAAAATTAACATGTTAAAACTTGATGATTACTTTGAATTTGCATCATTCATAAGATTAATATGAACAAAAAAAAGAACATGGAAAAACAGGCAGTCAGTAGTTAATCAAATAGTCGATAAGGAGTGTATACTTTGATTTACATATAGATAAAGCCGATTTGCTACATTTATTAATATGCATAGTAAGTGAGAAAATTACTGAGCTAAAAGACAAAAGGAAACCAAAACAACACCGACAGCAATATGTTATATATACATGAAATGCACGAAATAATATTAAATATCATGATAAGGAATGAATATATCTGTCATATCACCTTAAGTCATTAAATCTATATTATGACAGTAATGTGGACTCTATCAAATAGTAATTCTGGGTTGACAACCAATACCTAGGTAACACTTAGACCAATTTAGGTCAGCTGATATTTACGCATATAGTTATGTTTCCTTATAGACACAAAAAATACAAAATACTCATGAATGATATAATTACTGCATATAATTTTACACTGATTCAACTATGAATAAGGAAAATAGTCGACTCACTTTGAGATTGACAAATTCGCTCTGAGGACTCCTCACTATTAAAGTATGTGTCAGACATTGGATGATTTTGGTGATAACAATCTGAAAACATTTTAAAATCTTCAAAGTATATATTCGATTGTGATAGATTATCTCGTGAGGCTGAATGGAGGATACTTGCAACTTGAGATAAGCATCCACCAAGCTTTTGAAACTTAGATAGTAGTAAGCAAAATATTCTTCGAGGTGTCATTAAACTTGATTGTGATACAGTTGAATCATCATCATAGTATTCAAACTGTGAGAGTGTTTCATTTATCTCATGGATTTCCTTTGAAGTAAAACCAAGCAACTCTGCAAAACGATGCCATCTGAATGGTGAATTAAGGTATCCGTACAGTACTATGTGACATCCAAAGAGAAATTAAAGAATAGTTTTAATCTCAGAACTTGTAATAGTAAGCTTTACGTATAATTTAAAGATAATTTATAACAATTGATGATATCAATTAAGGAAGCACTAAGAACCAAAGAGCAATTGATATATAAGCTGGTATAAATTTGTTATTATAAGCGTAAATTTCAGCCGTAAATTATAATTAAATTGTAACACCTCAATAAACTAACAACACACGACGAATACATAAAGCATGATCGGAATGTATAATAAATCTATTGAAATCACGAATCAATAACTCAAAAATCGTACTGATAGTTTCACTGTTTCATGTTTAACAGATAAAACTGAAGAACAAATATCTAAAAGAATATTTAAACACGTCTCAGGAAATCTGTGATCAGAAAACAGTGATATTGTACTGTATGTTGTTTGCTTGTAATAATGTATTGTTTCTAGTTTTGTTTGAATCATCACCAACATTCTCTGTTACCACTTATTATTTTTCGTGAAAAAACGAACGATTAAATCAAATGGGATTGTTTTGGAGCATACACCCGATTCAGTTTTAATAAATGTGTTTTCAGATAATTTTTTTAAAATGCTAACATTGAGTGAAGAATAGTTGAAAATGGTGAAATAATAGGCAGTTTTTCCCTTGTTTTTTTTCAATATTTGCAACCAAAACCTGCAAACTATCGTAAAGCTTTTACTGTAATCCTTAATCACGACAAAATAACTATCGATTAAAGTATTCTTATTTTTAATTTGCAAATAATAACTTACATGCCAGGTCATAGAGGCTTTTTACAGTCCACAAACTTCCTCTTTTCAAAAAAGAGCGTCCAAAATTCTGCTTTGAAGAAAAATAGAAGTGAAATAGTGGAAAAATGGTAAGTGTATCAGTAAGAAATGTACATTCTTATTAAGTATTTATCAGTTCATCTCATAAAGCCAGTGAACATTTGCAGATTACTAAATAGCTAAACAACAGTGAAAATAGAGGTTAGCCGTTTGTTCAATGCGGACTGAGCCTTTATATTTCGTGTCACACGAACTCAGATTTTTTGTACGGTCAACAAGTGGTTTCAACACAAATCAGAGCCAGCTACGATAGGAAGTTTTGCTCATTAAGTATTCTTAGTTGGGCCATAGACTAGAAACCAAACTACTTAGCTCCTGAGCCTTTAAATACCGGCCTTCAAACAGATTATTTAGTCCTAGTGATATGTATAGATGAGATGAATTCGTTTAAACACATGTGTATTTTTGTCTCCTTTTTATAAACTAAAAACGATTTAGAAGCATAGTCAGCTTAAAGGCACGTCTGTGTAAGGGTGTAATTCATAACACAGTACTACAGGTAGTCAGTCAATCATTTAGCCATCACTAACGCAAAGTATGGCATGGATACGTGTTGGCTCAAGCTGCCATATCAGGCTATTATGACAAGATAAAATAACCGAATTCGGTGGTGAAAGTGATCAAAATAAGGTGGCAAAAATGTAAATGAAAAATAGTTGGCATCAAGAACGAAGTTCAAAAAGGTAGAGTGGAATGGTATATATGAGGTAACGCAAGAATTTAAGATTGGGATGGAGATATGGATTGACCGAACCTGGAACACTGTAAATGATTCTAAACCACATTACCCAGTCTTCAGTAACTGTTCGTGGTCACCATACGGACTCTATCCAGGTGATATTTATCTGCCAGCATGGTTAAAACTAACAGTCAATGACTTTATGAGCTAATGTCATACTGCAAACGCTTCTCGCTACTTTTCTTACCAGCAAACATCTGTCGTTTAGGCGGGTGGTGACTGGCAAAACATAGCGTATGTTTCAACTACCCCAGCAATGAATTTTCGTATTCATGAAATATGTAGAAACAGGTTCATATGCTACGAATGAAAGTAACTGAAGTAATAATTAACTATCCGTAGGGAGAATAGAGATTTTTAAGTATCCCCATGTATTAGGGTGAAACTTGTTCGGAACAAATGTAGCTCTATCTGATACACAAATATTACAAAAGTAATAATCTTACCAGGTCCAGTTTGATTTCAAAAATTGTTTGGAAGATTGAGTTACTGGCATATTTCCCAATAATAAGCTTTCCAAAAGGTGATTTGTTTAATTCTGCAATTTGTAGCATTTGGCATTTTATCGTTTTAGCTACCGACTGATCATCTTCGGGTACCTCAATGTGATGGAATTTTGTCTCTCCTAAATGATTTTCTACACGTAAATAGTTTGATTCCAGTACCACTGTCATTTTTTCCCCTGGATTAACCGTACGAATAAACTCAGCTTCTCCAATCTGAAAAGTATTCGTCAACAAAACCAAAATGCTTACAAACGGACATAGAATTCAAATCAAATTTCAAAGTCAGTATATTGTTGGATGCTGATTATCTTACTTCTCCCAATTAAGGCAAAACAGTTTATGTCTGTGAGGTTATTTTCAGAAAACACAAGATATTTGTAGACTACAGCCACGCTGATATGTATTGTTTAGTTTGTAAGAGAAATTAAGTTATTGCTCTTTCAAATTCATATTTTATTGCCACGTTGCAGGTTTTTAAAAATGATAAAGAATACTATTAGTTACATAAAATGTTATTTAAACTAAATTAGTTTTGTCACGAATAAAATATCTGAGTGAATAGTGGATATCTGGAACAAAATAAAGATGATTTAAGTTAATTCATATATCTTACAGATTTTATGAGTCATGGTAAGATCAAACGAAAAGGATATTTCACAAGGTTTTACAGGATACTTTTAAGTATTACAGAAGTGAATAGTATTGTAATATTTTATTTTTAGACTAACTATGGAAAGCAACAAGATCTTTATATTTCGATGCCGAAATCAGTATTTAACATCCTACAAAACTTGTTTTTTGATAGGACTGAACAAAGAAAAGGTAAAAGCGTCCTACAAAATATGATAAATTCATTTTATTTTGATGGCAACCATCAACTTAAAGCACTTTAAGATTACATATTTTAATACAATCACTCGTGAACGATTAACATTTTTGAGTTAATGAAGTTAAAGTGGGGATAAATGTCACTGAAGTTTTATTACTAGAACCAATAAATTCGTTGATTTTATTTAATTTTAGGGATTGGGTTATGAATATTTCTAAACCTACTTTATAATAAAAGAAACAACGGATAGTACTAAACATAATTAATACTTATGCATTTTTGTATTGAAAAGACATATCAGTACTCGTCAAAAGCAACGATATTCAACGCCAAAATTTGTACCCTCTTCCTTATTATGATTTTCGGTTTCACTTGAAATATTGTTTTCAGTTCTTCACTCAAAGCAACTCCCATTTGAAATGGTCAAAAACAAAAAGTGTGTGACACTAAATAACTTTTTATCTCACGGAATACGAGCATCTCTGTTTAAAACGTTTAGTTAGACCAAATAAATCTTAGTTCATAATAAAAAAATGAATTAGAATAACAACAATGAAGTTGGATATCAAAGCTATTCTAAATGTAACTTGTTAACCTTTATAAATCACATAAAAATACAGTTAAAGCTTTCATAACAATCTATACATGGCACAAAACAAAAATGAGATTACTTGACAAACTGGATTTCTAAAAACCGTATATAATTTCTAAGTAACTAGGAAGGTATAAGCTCACCAAAACTTAATTGCTTTACTTTATGAACATCATCAAATATGTATTGTGACTGGTTTGGAGTGAAGGGGTATAAATGACTTCTGTAAATCCGCAATTTCAGTCAATTCAAACTTAGATGTTTTTCTAACACGTCAATGATGTTCCTCCATAGAATATTCCCGTTTAGGTCGTTTGAAAATCATCATGAGAAGTACTCACAAAACCCTTGCAAATATGCAGCAAACCTTGCTGTAATCTTTGTTTTGGCTCTTTTAATTGTTCCGTCCTAGGTCCCTTACTTTTTATAATGTATGTTAATGATCTTCCAAGTATAGTACCGTCTCCAATGTTATTATACACTGACGATGTAAAAATCTGGCTAGTAATAACTAGAGACAAAGACGCATGTGCTCCTCAGGCAGACTTAGATAATATGATAAACTGGTCTAAAGAGTGGCTGATGCCTATCAATGCAGCAAAGTGTGTTTACATGCACTATGGGGATTCCAAGGTTAATAGGTACAACATAGGGAAAGTGCCATTTCCCGTAGTCCGGTCTCATAAGGATCTAGGGGTGACAGTGAGTCGTAATCTTAAGACGACGGCCCACTGCCGGGCGGTCGCAGCTGAGGGGTTTTGAACCCTCTGAGCTTTAAAACGGGCATTCACTAAGTTAGATACTGACAGGTTCACCACAGTATACATACCCTTAGTGAGAACTAAGCTTGAGAACTTCGTTCAGGCTGCAAGTCCCTGTTTAAAAGGTGACTCTGATATCCCAGAAAAATTACTGAGGACAGCTACCCGTGCGATTCCAGAACTCTGGAGTTTGCCACACAAAGAGCGGCTTGAAAAGCTGGACCTTTCTACTCTGTCCTACCGCAGACTAAGGGAAGATCTAATTTTGATGTACAGAATACTGAGAAATGATTTCGGACCTAGCTTATTCTCTCTTTATCTTCTCACTAGATCGGGACACCTCAGAGGACATAGCAGGCGAGTAGAAAAGCCGAGAACGAACAAAATACCCGTGGCATACAAGTTTTCACACCGAGTCATCAATACTTGGAACCTGCTGCCCGAAGCAATGGTGTCCGCACCTTCAATTGACTCTTTCAAGAGAAGACTGGACACTTGCAGAAGCATACTAGAAAAGGAATAACATAGACCGTAGGCTTTCTGTCCTTACTACACAGATCCGAATCTGAATCTGAATCAAATCACTAGATCAAATATATAGAGTGCGTCATACCAAAATCCTTTCCAGTAAATACAGTGTTTCAACTAAAACTTTATCACAGAGTAAAATACCTTATACAAATTTGTTAGCATCAAAAATTAAATTATTGCAACATTGTTTTTAGTTACCTTTCTCCATATACCGAGTAAGCTTAGTGGGACCGAAGTATTCTGAACACATATGCAAAGAAAACATTTGTCATCTCCACTGGAAAGTCTCAGATAGACAATGAATCTCATATTTCTGCTATTTTATAGCTTTTTCAATGCAAATAATAGTATCACAAGGTATTATAACATGTTTAATATCCAGTTGAATTCTAATAATGATGCCACTATAATACTAAATCACCAATGAGATAAGCAAAACATTCGTTGTCGGCAGGTGTTTCCTCAATGGCAGTTTCTTGGATGATTATTTTACCGTAAACTTTAATTTGAATTCAGACACCATCTGAACTATTATGACAAGCGATACAATATATACTAATCATATGCGTGCGTTTTTAGGATCCCATGCACCTGGTACGGTTAAACAAAATTATGTTGGATGTAAAATTGAGATCATCTAACTAGTTCTTATATGTCAGCTAACAGACCAAAGTGCTCAGCCTTGCCTCTTACTGTTCTCCAGATTTTTACATCTGCAAACAGTCGTGTCGACGACCTAGTAGTCATGTCGTTCGTCGACGTTATGAAGAAAAATGGGGGGACCTACAATGGTACCATGGGATACACCGTCCTTGACCGGATCCCATTCGAGGGGCGCTTCGCTTAACATCACGTTTTGTCTTTCACCACGGAAGGAGTTTCTTATTCGTTCTTGTACTCACCTTTCATTCCAAAGCTTATGAGCCTCTTCATAAGACCTAAGTGAGAAACCTTATCAAATTATTTTCTAAGATCTGTGATCTACTATGGTGATTAGACTGTGTGGAAGGTTATTATACACGATCTATCCCTGTCTACATTTAAATTCAGAAATAACTATGGCATTTTTCCAATTCCTGGGAACATCATTGCGAGTAGTCCTGAAATTACGTCTTTGAGAGTGTATAGACCTCGTGGTCGCAACCCATCAGGACCCACTATCTTATCAGGTCAGAGGTTGACAATTAATTGAAGAGCTTCGTCAGTTATATAATAGTAGTAATATATTTCCGACAGAACAGACACATGCCATTTTCAAGCATGATTAATAATTTTGAACATTGGCTTACACATAAGATTCGGAAAAAAAGAGCAGGAGTGGGTTCGGATATAAACCCTTAACAAGGCTAGATGGTTTGTAGTGGAACAAACAAAAAAATGGTAGATTAGTAGATAAAACTCATACTAGCTTTGATAACTAGACTGAATTGTGGTTAAACAGCCTTCAGTTAAGAGAATGAAGTGATAAAGTACAATGTGTTATAACGTGTGACAAAGTGGAACGGGTTCATTTGAAGGAGGAAATGACGAAGATAGAATCAAATGGTTTGTTCATTGGAATCGAGGAGAGTGAAGTGCTCAGAAGCACCAATAAAAGGGTAGTAATGTAACCGTAGTATATAAAGCCTTAACTTGACGCTGATGGTTTTGTTCGCTAACCTAACCGGTCGAAAGTTAACAGGCTCCATAGATGCTAGGCAACCGGCAGTAGTCGAAAAAATGTTAGGTTCTCTTGAAAGTGCTTTAGGATAGTAATGAGTATCCCTTATGACCAACTACAGTTGAGTAGTATATATAATCCAGTGAGTTGTCTGTCTATTTCAATTTAAAAATTAAGTAGGGACATAAAGTTAGGGAGACATACTCCATAAAACTTCAAAAGAAGAAAAAGGGGAACGAAACTCAAAGTCTGATATTATTTAGACACGTTTAGAGAACGGTATGCATCTATGTATAGCCACCTTTATGTGACTAAAATCATAACGATACTTAGTTCATCTATCATCAAGTTTAACTCAGACATTTTATTTCTAAAACTTCGAGCGTTTGTGCAGCACATAATAACGCTATCTTGAGATTTACTCGTTCTACTCGTCCAGGTTTCTGAAGCATTAAGTTCAAGGGCTTGACTATTTAAAAACCCTGGATCTAAAGATGCCACATGTGTTTGGAGTTTGACAAAAACTTTACTCGTAACACATTTTATTAAAAGATAACAACCTGTTCAAATCAGAAATCAGAGATGAAGTGATTCAAAGATATGTTTGGAAGGCTATCGATATGACGGGAATGATTTGGTCTAAGCTGGCTAAAAGTTACATCAGATGCATAACGTGGAGTACCCACTCGTGATCTGATGCGAATCTGTGGCCGAACGCATTCAACCAGGGGTATCCAGTTAAACTAACAAGATCAGCGTTGTTTTGAAGGCTAACGGAAATATTTTTTAGGTATTTATTTACGGCTACAAATCTAAGGGTTTGCTTCGCCATTTGGCTCTCCAGATTTAACTAAGTGAGAGCATTATTTCATATCGTCACTTGGCCAATCTGGATGCAGACGAATGTTCGAATTACTAGTTTTGTATTCATTGTTTGGTATTAAATTGCTTTTCAGGTAATTTTTGAGTACTAACTTGAAGATTCGTTTTAGTTGGATCATGCCTCCAATCCACTGACTAAGTCTCACATCAATCTGTGATATTGAGGTTGTTCTCCTACGCTCACCATTCAAATTCATGTTTCTAATTTTATGCTGGATTAGCTATTCTACTAAGACAGCCGATAACATGCCAACTCGGACATTTACATTAAGACTGTGGAGCGGGCATCGGATGGATAAAAATCAAACATTAAAAGACAGTTATTAGTTTTCTTAACTCTGCACTCTCTATATGCACTTTCTGTGCTAATAAACAGTTTTCCTCATTCCAACTCTGACTTCCCTTCCTTCACTTGAACTTACTCCACCTTGCAAATATCATAAATCACTGTTCTTTATTACTGCGTTCTCTTATCTGGAGACTCTGATCACATTTCATTCTAGCTACAAGAGCTGATATGAATTTAACCTAATAATATATAATAATAATATATTTCTGCATGTGCATGTACACACCGTTTTTACAAGCATGATCTATAAATTACAACATTTGTTGGTTCACAAAATGTTTCCCAACTTATTAAGTTTATAGTTGTTATAAAGTGAAATCGTAGAGCGCTTGCTGTAAACTATGACCTTGAGAGGACGCGTACATCAAGTTTGTTCCAAACGTCAGAAGTTTCATAGCTGTGCTCTCAGAGCAAGATTCTGAAGAAGAAAAAAAGAGAAACAGAAGAACAGTAGGGCACTTGGATATGAACGCCAAACGTTACTTAACATAGTGTAGTAGAACGGACAGAGGTATGATAAATTAGAATAAATTCATATTATGTCTTGTCAGTGAAATGAAGTCAGAGGCTCCATATTAGAGAATGTACTAATAAAGAACAATAAGTTGTGATGTTTAACAAGTTGGAGTAAGCTCACACGAAGGAAAGGAAGTCAAGGCTGGTACAAGGAAAGCGGTTTATAAGAAGGGTGTGTATATAGAGTGTGAAGTGTTAAGAATATTAATGACTACATCTTTTAATGTCTAACTTTTTTTTCCTTTTTTTGTTTGTCCGATGCCAGCCACACAATCCTAGTGTAAAAACCCGAGTTAGCATGTTATAGGTTGTCTCAGTAGAATAGCTAATCCAGTATAATATTGGAAACATGAGTTTGAGTGGTGAGCGTAGGAAAACAATCTATATCACAGATTGATTGACTTATTCTCAGTCATGAGGAGCCTGATACATACAAAATGTTCTGTCCCCACAAACACGGGTGGATTGAAGTTGTCGCCCTCACCATCAATGCTTGCTAGTCAGTAACTCCACCCTTATGCCTGTAAGAGTGGCGTGTACCTGCACTTGCAGCAATATATTATTACATTATATCATATATACTTTAGTTATATGAACTTCTCGATCCTCTTCTGTCATCACATTTCTGAAGAAGAATTCCAATGACTGCTGATCATGTTAATGCAATTTAACAGAGTCATTTTCACAGATTGAAATCATGAGTCAGTTGAAACTAGACCACCATTGAAAATCTGGAAGCACTGAACGGCCGTTTCGTCCTAGTATGGGACTCCTCAACAACGCGCATCCACGATCCCTCACCACGCAAGGCTCGAACCCAGGACCTGTAGTGGGATTGGACCATAACCACACTAGTTGGAATTCTTCTCCACGGTATACTTTTGTTCCTTCAGTTAGCCTACGAATACAGATGCATTTGAAATTCAACTCATATGGACAACTTACCGGCATAATCGTTATTTGATTTCATAAGTTAGACTAAAAGTAGTACTAATATTAACATTTCTACAGTATTCATTATTTTAATATTTCTAAACACAAAATACTTCCCACTTATACGTTAAGTTATTAACCAACGGCTATTAACACGCATCGTTTTATTAGTATTATCATTATTAATATTGTAATCCCATTTTTTATAGCTCAAATAATCACTAAAATTTTCATTTTAAGAGTGTTAAGCATGAAGGCAAATATTTTAAAATTATTACATGTATTCCCCGACCAGATGCTGCCGCCTTCTTTTTTATTTGTCTTTCAGCCTGTCATCACCCGGAGGATTCTTCCTAGTCTTGGTAACCTTCGGCACACTACAGTCCCATCCAATTTGGTATCGAACCAACACCACGTTGATTCTGGTGGGAGAGTAGTGTAGTGGGATTGGACCATAACCACACAATCCTCAAAGCTGAATACGAGATTACTCGGAAAATAGGTATTCAGCATTTAACGCGAAGAAATACCTAACGATGGAGAAGGCGCGAATAATGAATTGAACGAAATAGAATTGATCGAATGGCATGGTTCGGCCATGCAGGCGTGGTCTTTGCTGAATGTTACCTTATATCTTCTATTCATATTAAATACATTATTCTTTCTCTAGCTTAACTTTGTTCTACATCATGTATTGGTAATTGATACGATACAGTGAGTTGGTGTAGTCGATGGTGTGACTTCCACGTAAGATCTTATAGAGTAGACAGTCATATCATGATAAATCTACAAATTTAGGATTAGGTCTATTATTAGAGCAGTACTAATATCATAGTAGACCATAATTCTACATTGGTGAGCCCAACTAAAGAAATGCAACCTATTATTGTTAATCCTTATATCCACCTTAACCTTCTCAATCGGTTTTTATTTTTGTAAACCCAGTATTCTAATAGTCCTTTGATTAATGGTCACATATATTATCGTAATGTTATATCTATTAGTTCACATAACGTACTAGCTCAATCGATAATAAAAGTTGATCATCTATATCAACTTATTAGCTTTGATGGTTCGTTAACAAGCTTTAATAGCATTTACATGCTTCAGCGACATAGACTTGTTTAAACATCAAGCTCTAGCAAATATGACCTGTAAATAGCATAAATATACATTGACTAACAATGTGATCAAGGACTAAATAG